CAAATAATAAATGAAACAGTGATCTCAGGTACCAGCATGAAAACAGTTAAAAGGAGACTAGGGATAGAGAGAAATCAAATATATGCAATAAAGAAACCAGACGGAGAGGTAACATATAATAAGAATGAAATCATAAGAGTAGTGGAAAACTTCTACAGGGATCTGTACAACGCAAATGAACAGCCACGGATTGAAGCGAACGCGGTAGCTAGAGAAGTACCTGATATCACAACAGAAGAAATAAAGAGAGCGTTTATAGGCATGAAGAGAGGGAAAACACCAGGTGAAGACCGTATTAGTATAGACCTTATAATAGACGCGGGAGAAATCGCAACAGCGAAACTAGCCAATCTTTTTAACAAATGTCTTCTCGATGGAAAAATTTCGAAAGCCTGGAAAATGCAACAATTATTTTGATTCATAAAAAGGGGGACAGGAAAGATCTAAAAAACTACCGACCCATAAGTCTCCTTTCAGTTACTTACAAACTGTTCACTAAAATCATCACAAGTCGCATCTCTGACAGTCTAGATTCCAACCAGCCTAGAGAACAGGCAGGTTTCTGCAGTGGATTCTCAGCAACAGACCACATACACACGCTTACTCAAAAAAGAGAAAAAATAAACAAATATAGGAAACCCCTGTGTATGGCAATCATCGATTACGAAAAAGCATTTGACTCTGTACAAATACCAGCAGTACTAGAAGCTATTCGAAGACAGGGAGTAGAGGAGATATATTGTAAAATATTAGAAGATATATACGAAGATGGGACAGCAACCATCAAGCTCCACACAGAAACCGGTAAAATCCCAATTAAGAAAGGTGGTAGACAGGGCGATACCATCTCACCAAAATTGTTTACAGCTTGCCTTGAGCTAGAATGGACCGGAAAGGGTATCAAAATTGGGGACGAATACCTAAACAATCTAAGATTTGCAGATGATATTGTTCTCTTCAGTGAATCCGCAAATGAGATGCAGCAGCTAATAAATGATTTGAATAGAGAGAGCCTGAAAGTCGGACTTGGGATGAACAAGAAAAAGACTAAGATCATGTTCAACAGTAGAGTTCAATTCGAAGAGATATATGTTCAAGGCGAAGCGCTAGAAGTGGTAGACAAGTATATATACTTAGGGCAACTCATACTGACTAACGCATCTAGCAAAGAGGAAATTAAGCGACGCATCAGTCTAGGCTGGAGCGCAGTTGCATACTAAAAGGCTCCTTGCCATTATGTTTAAAAAGAAAAGTCTTTAACCATTGCATCCTCCCAGTTATGACCTATGGATCAGAATCATGGACTACAACCAAATTACTGGAGAGGAAACTAATAAGTGCCCAGAGAGGGATGGAGAGGTTGATGCTGGGAATTAGTCTAAGAGATCGGATGAGGGCGACATGGATCAGGCAAAAGTGGAAGATATACTCGGGAGCATCAAAAAGAAAAAATGGCAATGGGCAGGTCATATATGTCGGAGACAGGACAACAGATGGACAAAGAAAGTAACAGACTGGCTTATAGATAACATAAAGAGGCCAAGGGCCAGACCCATGACAAGATGGCGCAATGAAATAGCGAAATTTGGGGGCCAAGACTGGGAACAAAAAGAGCAAGACAGACAAAGATGGAAAAGATTGGGAGAGGCCTAAGTCCTGCAGTGGACTGACCCAGGCTGATGATGATGATGATTATATATATATATATATATTTATATACATATGTAAATACACACACACACACATATATGTAAATTCACGCACAAATATAGACATACATTTATATATACACGGTGGCATTATTCTGCTCAGTATACCAGGCAAAGTTTTCGCCCACATTCTTCTGAAACGGATCTTCGACCACCTAAGGCACCAGAAATCGGAGCAGTCTGGATTCACTCCTGGCAAGTCCATAATAGACCATATCCTAGCACTTCGAGTAATTGTGGAACGCTGTCATGAGTTCCTACATCGACCTCATGAAGGCATTTGACTCGGTGCATTGAGAATCATAATGAGAGATTATGAGATATAGGGGAATTCCGACACGAATTATTGGCCTGATAGCAAGTCTATATATAAATGTAAGTGCTGTAAAGTGGGGTGAGAACCTGTCGAACTTCTCCCCTTTTAATTCAGGAGTGAGGCAAGGCTGTGTCCTTGCACCAACACTTTTGAACACCTACATGGACTGGATAATGGGCAGAGCTACTGTCCAAGGTCAGTATAGAGCAAGACTGACCTTAACTTCGCCCATGATGTTGCTATCCTGGAGTCACTGGTGGCAATGAGGCGAAGCCCTTAGGCCTAGAGGTCTCCTGGATCAAGATCAAGATTCAGGATTTTGGGGGTATGTTAGGGTAATCCGTTTTGTCGATCTGTATCTGCCGTGAGGACGTTGAAGTAACAGAGCTTTGCATACCTTGGTAGCATAGTCCATATATCTTGGCTGTCAGAGCAAGAAGTCAGTAGATTGGTCTGGCAGCAGGGGCCATGAACT